TCCAATAACGTCGTGACGCAAACAGAAAATACATGATTGGCTATTGGAAAAAAATACACCCTTCGAACAAAATATGATGAAGAAAGATTTGCTTGTAATAGCAAAGCCATACAGGTCCAGGAGTCCAGATATTCCAATTATTGTACCGTAGATGAAATAGCCAAAAAACGGGAAATAATTTACCCCCTCGCTATTGCGAACTGAGTCTCACCGAGTAAAGGACCCCGCAATATTTAAATGGAAATTGGTTACCCGTGATATTTGGATGAAATTTAAATATGTTATTGGGGATGCCGTAAGCAACATTTTTCACCATGGCCACAATCCTGTATATATGACAGGTGAGGCGTGGTTAGATGTCAAATATCTTATATCCAAAAGCAGAGTAACTATGGCAGATTTTGATGAACAAAAAATCTATTTCTACCTTTGACCATTGAACACTCTCTCTCTCTAGACTAATAACGATAATAATGTGCTATAGAATTTGTTTGGTTCCAGAATGAGACCAGGCCCTCTTTCTCGCACTTATGAAAATAGAATGTTTATAAACCAGTCTGTTTATGTTTTGGGTATCAGAGAGCTGCGTTCGAAAACCTGGTTGTTGGTGTGGAAATTATTTCAGGGAGTGCATCTTCAAAATGTGAGCTTAAATTTCACTCTAGAGTATTCAGTGCGCACATCAATACGTGTCAAACACCCTTCCGAACGCCGAAAACCATATGATTTTAATCCACACTTCGCCTTTCCGAACGGCAGCTGTGTGATTTTTATACGACACACCAGGTTCTCGAACGCAGTCAGCTGATTTCTCACAAGAAAGTTGAGAACACCATAAGAACACAAAACAATTACTACGTTATTGCCAGACTGTAAAATCTTTCTTTAGAAGTAGGTACGTAGTTCCATTTCAAAACCAAATTGAGACGTGATAAAAGGTATTGTTGTTTTAGAATTATTTTAAGTATAGACTTAAAAAGTCGCAAGTATATTTTTAATATTATTATAAGCAGAAAAATTTGAAATAGATACTTTTCGATAGATGACGATATTCATTGTTATCGAGATTATTATTCGAACAAGAAAAAATTCGGCAACAGGGCCTTTTTTCGTTTTGTTTATCGGATGAATCACCCCTCTGACACCGCTACCTCATTATGGAACAAAACAAATATGCTTGTTGATCCCTCTAGCAGTTTAAAGCTCGATGATTTCTACTAAGTCGACCAAGTTAAGTCGAAAAATGTCAACCATTTTGACACCTGTCAAAACCCTGCCAAACGGCAGCATTCATCTTTTCCAGTTTTCAATATTTTATGATGTCATTTGATATTTTTAACTTGTATGTAAATTCTGAATTCAAAAATTGAAAAAAAAAATGACAGAACTGTCATAATGACATCATTAATGATTTCATTAAAGTACTCAAAAAAAATCGCCAGTTTATAAAATCCTTTAGGTATACTAAAACTATGTACTTTAAAATGAAAATTGACATCTCTGTCAAAATCTGAAACCTGCGTATAATGTTTTTTCATGCGTTATCATAAATAAGCTCAACATAAATTGAAAAAGAACTAGATTTGATTTTTTTTTAATCAAAGCTATTGACAGATTCTGACAGCTGTCAAAATGTGACGTGCATAAACTTTGTTCAATGTTTTATCACCAATAAACTACCTTACTTTTGTCTTTTTTTTTCAATTTTTGAATTCAGAATTTACATACAAACTAAAAATGTCAGATGACGTCATAAAATATTGAAAACTGGAAAAGATTGGTGCTGCCGTTTGGCAGGGTTTTGACAGGCGTCAAAATGGTTGACATTTTTCGACTTAACTTGGTCGACTTAGTAGAAATAGATTTTTTGTTTATCAAAATCTGCCATAGTTACTCTGCTTTTGGATATAAGATTCCAATATTTGACAGCTAACCACGCCTCACCTGTCATGTATACAGGGTTGTGCCCATGGTAAGAAATGTTGCTTACGGCATCCCCAATAACATATTTAAATTTCATCCAAATATCACGGGTAACCAATTTCCATTTAAATATTGCGGGGTCCTTTGGGCACAAGTCAAGGGATATGTTGCCAGAAGGAACACAAGTTTTACAGTAAATGACGTTGAAAAATTATTTCACGAGGCAATTCAAGAAGTAGATGCTGATAAGTGGCAGGAATGTATTAAGCATGTTTTTGAGTTCTTGGCATAGAGGAAAGGATTTGGAAACTGGACAAATTAATTGAGGCAACAATTGAACCTTCGGGCATGAATGTGAATGATGAGAGTTCTTCATCAGGAGAAAAATAAAATAAAAAAAATTGAGGGGAATATAACAATTATTATTCTTATTAGGATGTTCCAACTTTAATTTGTTTATTAGTCTCTACCTAAGTTTTCTAAGTTTTGGTTCAATTTTTCTGTAAAATACTTTCATTTGAAAACAAAAACTGGTTTTTATTTTAAATATTTGTTTTTCACCAAAATATCTTACTTGCGCCTCGTATGGGTAATAGAATTTACAAAACGACGCCTCGTAAAACCCGAAAACCGATTGTTTGGACAAAAGAAGGTTTATGAATGAGGGTTTAAGGAATTCAAATTTGGTAGGTTTGATTTATTCTACCCAGTCATTAAAAAATTAACTATAGATATCGGGCTTTCATGGTAACACAGGCAATTTTCAAATACTCCATATACCTACTTTTTAAAATTTAATAGATGTTTAAGGTAAATGTCCTTTCACTTACACTCTTACTACTGCATTTGTGCACTAATAAATTTGAAAAATAGTGCGGTAATATGTTCGTCATTGGGACGTTTAGAACAGTGTCAATGGTTGTAGAGAAAATTTTGTTTTTTTTTTTCGTGTAGCGTGTAGTAATGTAGGTAGATAGAAACAAGCATATCAAAAGGCTCTTGCTAAGACTATCTGAAAAGATCGTAAATTCGTCGTGCTTATATTCTATATTCGTGACTCGAAATACCCCACTAATAAAGTAAATAGGTAATTATCATTTAACTTAACAATTAGACATATAAACTTCTTAGTATCGCATTTGAGTAAAGCTATAGTTGGTCAGGTCAAACAAACATTCATGCGAGTATTTCAACTTTTCTAAAAAGTATTGAGTGTTAGAATAGTTTATTGTCAATTTAAACTTAATTTCGTAAAATACCAGAGCAGCTTTCTCGCTTTATTAACGGACCATAAACGAACTACATAATGGCAAGTGATTAAAGCCATGTTTTATAATCAACTTCCCTGCCATCATAGTCAACCCTGTTTTGTCGGCAATTATTCATTGGCTCCCATCAGCGCCAGACGAGGCGCACACTGACACTTGCATTGTCAACGTTTCCGTTCGTCTTTTGTTTCGACCGGCAATCGGCAATCTAATTTGCGTTGAGTGCGTCGCGCTGCCGCTCTTGCTTTCAGCAGTATGTACCTCTAGCTTGCGATATTGTTTTTGTTGGATTACTTGCTTTAAATTTCAATCACACATTCTAAACTAGAGTAGGTATTCCAAAGTTTATCGTTTTCAATTCAACAAGTTCATTTGCGAATTGAATTGTATTCCTGCAGAGGATGCAAATCAGACAAGATTTGAATAAGTCATGAAACAGGATAGTTCAACATCAAACTCATTGGCATTTCATTGACGTCTCACACTCATTGAACAATATTCTTGGTTCATAATGTTAGCCACCACTGTTGTTGTTGTTCGGTGATAAAAGCATTTACAGTTCGAACTAGATCGTCGCAAAAATTTAAAATAAACTGGTATTTTGAGGTTTTCGTCGAAAAATATTTGCCTTGTAATTCGTTCGCCAAACCTTAAGCTTTTGAGAGCGTTGGGTGTTAGCTCTTCCGATCAGTCAGTGTTGTTCCTTTACACGGAAACTATCATTTGTGTACATTTACAGGTAAACAAATTGTCACCAATAGGTAAACAATGTAGACAATAGGTAAACAATGTAAACAAAGCGTAAACGATGTAGGGAAAGCTCGAAAGTTGTAATTTTGAGGTAGTTTTACAAATCAAAAACTGGTGGTTTGTGATTTTGAAAACATTGGATTTGGATAATATCCCTACCAGGCATGCCAAAAAATAGGTCTGATTTCACGTTAATAAAGCAGATGAAAAAATATAAGGCGTCTCGTAGTTACTGACTACAAGCGGATTTTCTTTTGTTATGGTACTGAAAAATATTCGCAAAGCTATTAAACATGCTTTGGGTATGATGATGACCGCACATCATTAAGGTAATTTTTGTTGATTTTAGCAACATCTATCAGTAATTAAATTGTTCTTAGAGTCAAACAATAAAAGTAGATAAGTCATAGACTCAATTAGTACATACATAGTTAAAAGGAATAGAACAGTTAAAAAGACAGGTACTTTTTATCAAATAAAAAAAAGAGAAAGACCATTTTACAGTTTAAATTTTAAAATATCACAATTCTGGCTAATAGTTAAAAGGAACAAAATATTTACCACTAAGAGGAACAAAATAGTTATTACTACCTTCTAATTTACAAATTAAGAAATTTTAAAAATAGCTTGTTGGTTCATGAACACGAAATCTAGAATTACCTATATCAGCAGCCTAGTGAAAGAAATGTTGCTACAAATAAAAAACAAACAAATATTTTTTTTATACCTCGTACTCCATTTCAGAAGTGCGATTGATACAAATACTTTCAAAAAGACTCACTTATTACTGGATAACATGGGCAGCTTTTTTTCTTTAAGTTAAAACTATAGTTTAAAATGCGGACTTAATGTTTATAGGTGTTTAATAAGTCTAGATCAATAAGTCTTGCCATGGCACGAATAAGTATTTATTTTCATGACACTGACATTATTAATAAATTTGTATTTCATATTCGTATAAGATCTCTGATGGATTTTATCGAATATTTTCACAAAAATATCACTGATTGTGCATTTTTTTCTCAACGCTGTTTTGTGTGTATATGGAAATTAACTTACGGTAAATCGTCGGCACCATACGGATAGCCATCGTATATCTCGAATCCGTTTGCCCATCGGCAACCTAAGGATTATGTCTGAATTATTGTGAGCTTTAAGCACTGGTGGTTCCCTGAAACAAATTTTGTAAGATTTTAAAAGTGTCTAGGAAATATTTTATTGGGTCTAGAACACATTAGGTCCCTAAAAACGGACAATTTTTCTATGTTCAAATTTGCATTGGAGCAATTATTAGGACATAATGAAGAAAAAAAAATATGGATGAGTTCATTTTTTTGATAAACAATATATTATTTAAATATACAGCGTGTCCTAAAAAGATACCGACAAACTTTAAAGGGTAGTAAGGGATATCAAAACAAAAAACAAGCATATTTGTTTATATAAACATATGTCCGCAAATGAGCCATTTGGGCTGTAGAGCAAAAAAATTATTTGGCTCAGTAGACCTGGCCCCCCCCAGTTGATAATTTTTATCCAAAACGCTAGCCTTCGTTCTCCAGAGCTAGCGCAACCTAGCGCAATTTTTTCGAAAGCTAGCGCAGCTACAGGTCAAAAGATATGTGGCTTTATATTCGGGGGGGGGGGGGGGGGGCTAGGGTGACGCTAGCCCCCCCCCCAGTTATTCGATCTTCTCAAAAATGCTGGCGCACATTCGTAACACCTAGCGCAGCGTAGCGCAAGTTGTGTCATAGCTAGCGCAGCTATCGTAGCTGTCATCAAGTGATTTTTAATTTTTCAAAAATATATATGAAGCTTCCTTAAAGCTAGCGCAGGCTAGCGCAGGTAAAATTCGAGCAACCGAATTACCCCTTTAAAACACATACAGGTATTTATTCGGGGGGAGCTAGATCAACGCTAGCCCCCCCCAGTTGTTAAATCATTTTCAAAAGGCTAGCGCAAGTTCGTGACACCTAGCGCAAGTTCGTGACACTTAGCGCAAGTTCGTGACACCTAGCGCAGCCTAGCGCAGCCTAGCGCAGCCTAGCGCAAGTTGTGTCATAGCTAGCGCAGCTATCGTAGCTGTCATACAGGGTGGAGAAAAAAATCATGAGCCCCTACAAGGGATTTTTAATTTTTCAAAAATATATATGAAGCTTCGTTAAAGCTAGCGCAGGCTAACGCAGGTAAAATTCGTGCAACCGCATTACCCCTTTATAACATAAACACATACAGGTATTAATTCGGGAGGCGGCTAGAGTGCCGCTAGCCCCCCCCCCCCCCAGTTGTTAAATCCTTTCCAAAATGCTAGCGGAAGTTCTTGACACTTAGCGTAAGTTGTGTCGTAGCTAGCGCAGCTATAGTAAGTGAATGTTATACAGGGTGAACTATGAAATCTTACAAAATGTCGCCAGCTCCAAGACAAGATTTAACGTTTACAACCGCTATCTATTCGCGAAGTTATACTTTTTCCTTTATAGTCGGGCCGGAATCAGAACAAATCAGAAAACAGAAAACAGTGAAATTCAAACCTAATATGAGAAACACATACATCAGGGATGTCGATTTTTAATCGATACTTTTGAAGATCGATTTTTTCGATACGATTAATCGATTTTTTGAATCGATTTTTTCACTATCGATATTTTTTATAATCGATTCTTTTTTTCTTGAATCGATATAACCATTTTTTGATCTCCATGAGTACTTTTTATTATTATATTATATGTATATTTATTTATGTTTCATGAAGATATTTTTAAATATTTTGTTCGATTTAAGAACTTATTATTAATTCAACGTTTTTGGGAAAAGACTATACCTATTTTTGTCAAGATACTCGAGTTTTCTGAACAACAATATCAATACCAGAATCGAAAATCGATTCTTCTAGAATCGATTCTTTTATGACCGATTTTTTCTTGAATCGATTTTTTGATTACGATCCTGAATCGATCCTAACAATCGATTCTTTTGTGAATGATCGACATCCCTGACAAACATGCCACCGCCTGGGATCACTAAATGCATTCAACCAACGTAATTCTTAATTGGTGATAAAAAAAAGTACTAGCTCTTGCTTCACAAACCTGACAAACCCCACCGCCACCACCACTAAAAATGTCGACAATATTCAGTATCGATATATCGACGAACTAAATATCGATATGTCGTTGCCATCCCTAAACTCATTACAGTGACAATAAGGGCGAATTCTCATGAGCGTAAGTTGACCGTTCTGGCGTAATCACGTGATTATATGGTGTTATTTGATTGGTCAAATCTCCAGCATGGCGAATATTTTACCAATAAAATCCAACCATTTTATCACGTGATTACGCCAGAAATGTCAACTTACGCTCATGAGAACTCGCTCTAAACCTAACACAGTGGCGACAATAGAGGTCCCGCCGCCACTTTGTGGCTTTCCTCTTGCTAATTTTAAATACGAATATATAGGATTTAAATAGACATTTATCATACAAAATTGAAAACAATGTATTTGATGATCATTATTAGGTATATCAAATACGTTGTTCTCAATTTGTTATGATCGATGTCCATAAATCGTATATATTCATATTTAAAATTAGCAAGAGTTACGCCACAAAGTGAACACAGTTCATTAATATGAACATATTATAGGATTTTAAAAAACCAATCATAAATAAGACTGCAATTATTGTCGCCACTGTGGTAATACAGTCACTGTACAACCCACTAGTTGCGCGCGCATCAAGGTTGAAAAAGATACCTACCTCAATTTTTTAATTTCTTTGTGAGGTTAAGTTTTAGTTACCTACTTCGCGAATAGATAGCGCTTGTAAACGTTAAATCTTGTCTTGGAGCTGGCGACATTTTGTAAGATTTCATAGTTCACCCTGTATAACATTTACTTACTATAGCTGCGCTAGCTACGACACAACTTACGCTAAGTGTCAAGAACTTCCGCTAACATTTTGGAAAGGATTTAACAACTGGGGGGGGGGGGGCTAGCGGCAGAGCGGTACTCTAGCCGCCTCCCGAATAAATACCTGTATGTGTGTCTGTTTTAAAGGGGAAATGCGGTTGCTCGAATTTTACCTGCGCTAGCTTTAAGGAAGCTTCATATATATTTTTGAAAAATTAAAAATCACTTGTAGGGGCTCATGATTTTTTTTGTCCACCCTGTATGACAGCTACGATAGCTGCGCTAGCTATGACACAACTTGCGCTAGGCTGCGCTAGTTGTCACGAACTTGCGCTAGCCTTTTGAAAAGGATTTAACAACTGGGGGGGGCTAGCGTTGATTTAGCCCCCTCCCCGAATAAATACCTGTATATGTTTTAAAGGGGTAATGCGGTTGCTCGAATTTTACCTGCGCTAGCCTGCGCTAGCTTTAAGGAAGCTCCATATATATTTTTGAAAAATTAAAAATCACTTGTAGGGGCTCATGATTTTTTTTGTCCACCCTGTATGACAGCTACGATAGCTGCGCTAGCTATGACACAACTTGCGCTAGGCTGCGCTAGGTGCTACGAATGTGCGCCAGCATTTTTGAGAAGATCGAATAACTGGGGGGGGCTAGCGTCACCCTAGCCCCCCCCCCCTCGAATATAAAGCCACATATCTTTTGACCTGTAGCTGCGCTAGCTTTCGAAAAAGTTGCGCTAGGTTGCGCTAGCTCTGGAGAACGAGGGCTAGCGTTTTGGATAAAAATTATCAACTGGGGGGGGGGGGGCAGGTCTACTGAGCCAAATTATTTGTTACTTTTATTCTTCGCAATAATTAAATCACTGTTTACTTATTAATTTTGCTTAGTTATTAACAATAAATAAATTATGGTTTACAATAATTGTTCAAAATGTTGACCATTTACTTCAATGCAAAGATTCATTAATAGACAACTACTAAGTTAATTAAGGAAACTAATCACAAATTAGGTAGGAATTTTCAAAATGTTAGTAAAAAACCAGTAAAAAATCAATAAAACCAGTAAAAAACCTCAAAAAAACCCTTCCCATAAACATTAAATATTGTAAATATTTACCAAGGTGGTATGCTGATTTTGCCATAAAATAGAAATCTATTAAAGTAAACAAAATAAATGAACAAAATAATAATAATTGTAAAAAATCACTAGTCACTAATGCCTTATATCCTCTCGCTTCTCAACCTTTGACACAGATCAATAAATAATATCTATTCTTATCAGCTTAATATCGCTATACCTATCAAAGATGCACAATCAACAAAGATTTTAACACGGAAAAATATGGCCCATTTTGAACAAAAAAAGTTCACACAACATGGGGTCCAAACTCGACCATTTTCAATTAAAAGGTTTTTGAAGTTTTGATATGACAATTATTGTAATGACCCGGGAAAAATAGACCAGTAAATTTAAATGTAATCAAATAATGTAAATTGAATCAAATAATCTAATGTAAAATTGAATATCCAATAATTCCCATCAGTATCAATCAAAATTGGAAAATAATGAAACAAATTAGCATTGACCCAAATTAATTAAAATATTTGAAATACGTTCAAATTTCAATAGCCAGTCATCAAGCGTGTGTCATCACATTGAACTCGTAAATCAAATTCATAAAAATATTAAAATCAAGGCAAAAAGTAATTAAATTGGGTCCCAAAGAATTATAATAAAATCATGATTTACGGTCGGCACGAGTGCGACTTTTCTTTGAATTAGGTGTCCTCCGCATTCTTTCAAATCTGTAGACCCCGATAATCCAGGAAATTGCGACATATACGGCTTTACACAAATAATTATATTTCTTAGAAAAAAGGAAGGTTAATGAATGTACATGACCCCAGATTTTTGGGGGGGTTCGAAAAATATAAAAACAGCGGTTTCGGCATTTCGGAATCAGTTCAGTTCAGCTTAGAGTCTTGAATCTACAGTAAGATTAATGGGTCAGTCCGGATAAAATTCGCGAAGAGCTTCTTTTATATTGTTGCCTCGGGAAAACGCGCTAAATCGAATATTTTGAAGAAAGGAAAGAAGTCGTGAAGAAACAACATTAAAAATTCGTTCAACATTATGTGCGAGCTCTAAATAATCAAAAGAATTATTTTAGATTAGTTTAGTGTTTTAAGGACGGAATTTAAGTACTCTAGTGACATGTTTATTCGACTTTATCAATGATTAAAATGACTATGAAGTAA